TATATATACGGTATGTGTATATATAATGCATGTGTATATCTAACATCTCCAGTCATCTCTGCTCTTGCTTTTTCAAGGATGTCATTACCCCATTCTCCACTTTGTGGTGTGTATGAACACAGGTTTTTTTCCTTTCTGGATAGACACTTTACCAACTGAGCCATCCCAGACTCATCCACAGTTTTCCTCTTGTCTTTATAACATTTTGCTTTCTTATGAAATCATTTCCAGCCCATCAAGCAAGCTCTAATATCTTTATTCAAGGTGGTAACAAAATCTGCCTTGTCTTCTAGACTCTTTGCTCAGTCAAGCTGCTCAACACACCAAGCCCTAAATATACATCTTTTCTCAGCATGCTGCAAAAACTGCTCTGGGAAGTTGGTTGTGCCAGTTTAAGCCCACGAGTCCAGCACTTGGAACACAGAGGTAAGCGGATTGCTGAGATCACAAGCACAGCTTGGATTGGACTACATAGAAGGTTCAAGGAAAGCCTCTATGAATGAGGTTTCATTTGGAAAAAAGAAAAAAAGGCAGTAACTTCTGTAATTTTTTCAGTCTTTTTTTTTTCTTTTTTGATTGCACACTACCATTTGGGAAAAGGAGCCCTTCCTCCTCCATACCCTGTCACCAAATTTCCCTAACCACTCTCTTGACTTTTTTTTTTTTTTTTGCTTGCTCTTGGGAGTTTCTTTTCTTTGTCTTTTTTTTTTCTTCAGCCTCTCCTCTTCTGCCTTTCCTCTGAAAGCAGAAGTTGCTCACAGTGATTTGTGGATCCTACCTGCTTTCTGTTGCAAGTTCTACTGACCTGGATTCTGATAACATTTGCACTTGGAATGGTCACTCATCCTTATGCACTCTTTTCAGAACTGTGTGTGTGGTGGTGTATCCCTAGGTGAGTGTGCTGTATGCATGCGTGTGTGGGGGTCCAAGACCACGTGCACAAAGATGAAGGTCAGAAGAGATGTCAGGTGTCAATCACTCAACAAAGGGTCTCTCGCTGAACCAGGAGCTAGGCTGGCAGACAGGATGTACCAGAGATCTTCCCTCAGCACTGGGTTATAGGCACACCTAGGCTTTTTACAGGGGTGCTGAGGATTTGAAGCTAGGACCTCAAGGCTGGCACAGTAAGTGCTTTCTCCTCCTAAGTCACCTCCCTAGTCCTATACTTACATTTTAAACCACCCTGACCTCCAGATTCCTGGATCTGTGCACTTGATTTCTGTGCTGCAATGTGTCCTAGCTGCTTCAAAAGATATCATACGCCCCCATGTCGGACCACAAACTCTTCTCTCTTTGGGGGCTCTTTCTGTTTGTACTTCTGCGTGCAGATCTTCACCTGGCTCAACCCTACTGCATCTTTATGCTTCCACTCTGTGCCAGGTTTGAACAATCATTCTCTAACTCTTCTGATTATGTTAAACTTTCTTACAATGCCTTGTGTTCTCCTGCAGAGCACAACCATTGGAAATGACATATTTATTTGTTGGTGACTACTGCCTATTGCTATATTAGAAGCATTTGTGTTTGCTGTGTCTTCAGGATAGGTCTTCCCCTGGCTCAATAAGATGACCTACTGAATGTAAGCTCCAGGAGACCATGGACTGTCTTTGCCTTTCTTACTTGTTTGAAGTTAAGCACCATATCACAAGGTTCTCACATACAGCATGCCCTCAAGATTATTGTGAAATGATCTCTAAAGTTTAAGTGCTAATGTTTTATGGAAAAATAACTTTGAGATCTTTTAAACATACTCGGTGTATCCTTAAAGAAGCCCACGTACAGGCTATCAACATTGTATTGCGTTTATTATTTGTTGTGTGTGACGGAGGAGGTGGTATGTGCCGCTGTGCATGCTAAGGTACAGGAGCAACTTATGAGAGTTGGTTCTCTCTACCTTCTATCTGGGTCCTAGGTTGAAACTTGGGTTTTCAGACTTGAGGGCAATCACCTTTACCTACGGTGCCACTTCGACAGCCCTTCTCCACATCTTTGAAAATTTCAGAGCAGAATAAAATGGGAACACAGAACTGGCCAATAGTGGCACACAGCTGTAAGTTGCCAGCACTTGAGAAGCTGAGCCTGTGAGTCATGAGTTCTAGACCAGCCAGGGCTGCAAAGGGTTGGAGGTCACGGTAAGACTCTGTATTGTCACACACACACACACTACATCACTCCCAAAACAGTGCAAATGAAGAATGACGGCCTGTTTTCCCCTTATTGATCTGCTACACGAGCCAGTTTCCTATTTTCAATGTATTTCTGGTTTCTTAAATCTCACTCATATAAATGAATTTGGCGATTTTTTTTTCTTTTCCTGTTTTTGAAACCTTTAACTCTGCGAGGGAGACCACCGAAATGTTGAGGAGCTCCAGGACTCTAAGACCATCAGCTCCAAAAACTTGCAGATGGTCCTTCAGGCGGGCGGGCGCTCAGCCGACTCAATGTCTTCCATTTTCCCAGCCCTGCCCCCCTCACCCATCCTTCGCCTCTCCTACACCCCATTAGGCCTAGTGGTTGCCTGAGGAGGGTGGAGTGGGGGGACAGAAAAGGGGAGCAAGATGTAGAGCTTGTTCAAACCCTCTTCCCCACCTTCTCTCCTGGGGACCACCAGCTTTCCAACTACGCTGGAAATGTACTTTCTTATCCAAAGGAAATAGCGTCTTCAGCTACAAAGTAGGGACCGCGGAGGGGGGAGACTACACGACAGCCTGCCTGTTTACACTCGTTCGCTCGCTCCCGCGCTGCTACTGGGACCGATTGGCTCCCTCGCTCCCCTGACGCTCTACGGCCACGCCCCGGCGCGGCCATCTGCTCCGCGTGGGTCCCGGGGTCTCCACCAGACCCACTCCTACCGCCCCTCCCTTCGAGCGCATCCCCGCCCCCACCGTGCCGGGCTCCGCCCCTTCCCCCTCCCGGCGCCGCGGGCTCCGAATCCTCCCCGCGGTTGCCTGGGAGACCAGCCGATACCAGGCAAATAGGCATTGGAGAAAGAAAAGGGGGGAAAGCTGCACGGCAGCCTGTTAACAAAGGAGCCATAAAAGCAGCCCCCGAATGTCTGGGAGAAAATCTGAAAGAGGACTAGCAATCACCCCAATTTAAAACCGGAGGGGAACTCAGAGGAAGGGGCAAGGTTCCCGTGGGGGTGGGGGGACAGATTGGCTTTTGAGCATTTGGGAATCTCTTGGATGGTGGCATTGGATCAGCCCAGTTGGCTTTTCAAGTTGGAACTGCTAATGAGAGAGATTCGCGTCCATCCTGACGGCTGGGGTCTCAGGCCAGGCCAGAAGGCTCCCTTACGGGTGCTAACACGTTGGTTGGCAAGATGTATTTCGACGGAATGGTCCTTGCAGCTGCTCTGTGGAATATGACTTCGGGATGGACTAATGTATCTAAAGGAACTGGACAGTTAGGAGATGGAGCTTCACGCAACGATGTTCTTCTGCTCAGTGACTGTCAAACAGCACTCGAACAAAGGGTTATTGGCTTGAACCAACTGTCCTTTTCACTCAAAGTGTGACCTATTTCCCTACAATGAACAGAAAATAAAACTGTTTGACAATTCCGAGCCAACACCAAGAGAAATGAACCATTCCCTCGACTGCGGGCCTCCATCGTTCACGATGCACGGTCACTAAATGCAAACGACAAAAGATGGTTTGGATTTTTTTCATGAGCGAAATTATGGGTGGTAGAGGAATGTTTATTAGGTTGCACCCTCTATTCCCCCTCCCCTCCAGTACATTAAATCAACGCCTTGTCTTTGACACACTAACAGCGTCTGGTGCTTCGGTGGTAAGGGGTGTAGTGACCTAGAGACACAGCGCCTCTAGCCCGAGTTAGACGTGGAGTCTCCAGGGATTTTCGTGCTGTCTCTGAACCTTGCAGGCGATTTCTTCTGAGACTCGGAATCTGTCTTTTAAAATTTCTTCGCTGCTGCCTCCGTTCCAGGAGCATACTCGCTGCTTTGCACACACACACACACACACACACACACACACACACACACACACACACGTTCAAAATGAAAGTCCCTCCGATGTTGGCAGCCGGCTTTGAAAACAACCCTGTCGGCGAGAGTAGCAGCCTCCCAACTGTAAATATGGATTATTGCATTCAAGGCGCTGTCTCGTTTTATCTCAGAGGAAATTCATTATGTCGTTTCATACAGTGATAAAACGCAAGCAGTTTCGATCGTCTGCAAATGGTCCTCACAGTGTTTGGTGGGAAAGTGATCGCTAATTGGAATAGCCAGAGAGACGCGATTTGAGGCGCTCCAAAGACCAGTCTCAAAATATTTTATTTCACGCCTGTGGGAGAGGGAAAGGAGCATGGCTTAGGCTGTTTGCTGCTTTGGCATTTCCCACATCTGGCCTACAGACCTAATTCCAACTGGAGATCTCGCTAGATGAAATTCGATATTCGTGGTTTAAATACCTTTCAGAGTGGGACGATTTAACAATTGCAGCAGTTAAAAAAAAAAACAGCCAAAAAAAAAAAACAACCCAAAAACCTTGCGCACTATCTGTGAAATCCATATGGAACGCGAAGAAAGAAAACATGCTACGCGCACACAAATCCTACCCATTGTCTTTAACACTTGCATACACACTCATACACGTAAACACACGGGAAGATGGGGGAGGGGAGAGAGTGGAGAGAGACAGACACGGATATAGACCGACAAGAGTCAATGCGAGTCAAGTTAAAGCTTTCTCCGCCCCCATCCATAAGTACCCCCTCCCGTGTTAATTGATTCCAAACAAAGCAAGCCAATCAAGAGATACATGATTATATTCAGGCAGTGGGAGACAAGAAGCACGTATTTTTTAATTGATTTATTTATTTGGAGGACATTAATTCTCGGTCTGAGGCTGATTTTCAAACCGTTTGCAAAGCGCGGCTCCATTGTTAGCCCGGAGCGCAGGCCCCGCCCCCTGCTTTGTGTGCGGCGCGCGGATTGGCCAGCGCGCGCGGGGGCCGCGTCAGCGCCCGCGAGCCCATTCATCTGTGCACTTGGGCGTTGGACCCCGCATCTTATTAGCAACCAGGGAGATTTCTCCATTTTCCTCTTGTCTACAGTGCGGCTACAAATCTGGGATTTTTTTATTACTTTTTTTTTTAAAAAAAAAACTACACTTGGGCTCCTTTTTTGTGCTCGACTTTTCCACCTTTTTCCCTCCCTCCTGCGCTGCTGCTTTTTGATCTCTTCGACTAAAATTTTTTTATCCGGAGTGTATTTAATCGGGTCTCTTCTGTCCTCCTCGCCACCCCCACCCCCTCCCTCCGGTGTGTGTGCCGCCGCCGCTGTTGCTGCTGCCGCTGCCGCTGCTGCTCGCCCCGTCGTTACACCAACCCAAGGCTCTTTGTTTCCTCTCTTGGATCTGTTGAGTTTCTTTGTTGAAGAAGCCAGAATGGGTGCCCAGTTCTCCAAGACCGCAGCAAAGGGAGAAGCCGCCGCGGAGAGGCCCGGGGAGGCGGCTGTGGCCTCGTCACCTTCCAAAGCAAATGGACAGGTAAATTCTACCTGTGGTTCTGGGCATTTCTTGGTTGTCTTTCTCTAATCTGGACGCCTCTCCCTCTCGCTGATCGCGCCCGAGGCGCATTCCGGGGAGAGGAGCGTGGCCAGACCCTAGTTTGAAAGTTGAATGGGAGACGTTAGCCTAAATTGTCAATTTTTCATAGGGAGGTTACCTCCCCAACCCCCACCTCAAAGGAATGGTTGGTTCCTAAGGATCCTGGCGAATTCTTGAGTAGAGGGGAGGAAGAGTGATAAATCGTCTAAAATGGCGTGGTTTGGAGTTAAGGCTGAACGTGACTAGCTAGGTGATCTCCCCCCCCCCCACACACACACACATACACACACCCCTTCAGGTTGCATTTGTATTTGGGGCCACAGCGGTGTTTGGGTGGTTCTGGTATTTATTGTCGAGATTGAGTCGTCTTTGAGATTTCTGGTGTGGTTGTGTGTGTGTGCGCGCGCGCGGCGCGCGTGTGTATGTGTGTGTGTGTAGGAAGGGGGGAGCCAACGCGGATGGCGGTGGAGAAAGGCAAACTGAGAAGGCTTATTGTATCCAGAGGCAGTGTGCCCTAGGTTCTTGGAAAGGTGGCTGCTTAGAGCCGGAAAGGCAGTTTTTCCAAGTGCCTTTCGATGGGTCTGATTTGTAGCTGTGTAATTACACACCCATACGACTTTTTAAATGCTAACTCTAGTGTGCTGGGAATCTTCCGTGGGTTATTAAAGACCCTTTCCTGTCGGCCAAGAGGGTGCACTTCTGGTGTTTTGGTAGTGACTGTTCGTGTGAGTGGCACCTCGGCCACCCTTGGGGACTACCCCAGTGCTGTTGCGACCCAGGGAGAGAGGGAGGGGGGAGAGAGAGAGAGAGAGAGAGAGAGAGAGAGAGAGAGAGAGAGAGAGAGATAGCCATGGTTGGGTGGGCTAAAGAGGTCGGCCATGGCTGGCTGCTTCACAAACACCAGGCACCCACCACGCCTCTTTTCCTAGAGCAAAGGCCGTGTGGCTTTCGCCTGATCTAAATCGACTCGGGGCAAGACCAGTTCTTTCAAGAGGCTTTAAAGCCGTTCAAAAATGCAAAAGGAGCTGCCCGGGCGCGCCCCGATTTGCAGAATTATGGGCGAAGGTGGGCGTGGAAGCAGGCCCGAGACTTCAGAAATAATGGGTTTCCCCCGGCCCTGCTGGTTTCAGAGCCTCGGAGAGGCCGACCAGCAGCCACCTGAGCTTTGTTTGCGGACTCCCCGGCTGCACGATCCGGGCTCGGGGGCGCCTCGGCCTGCGGGCAGGGCCCGGCAAGGCAGGGCGGGGTGGCCCCGCCCCTGAGCGCTCGTCGGCCGCCCTCGCCCGGCTCCGTGCGGTGGAGGCGCAGCGCCCCCTGCCGGTGCCGAGCCCGGGACTCGCGGCCCGAGGCCCTGGGGGCTCCGGTCCTTCGGGGCGGGAGGGATGGGTAACCTGCTGCAAACCGGGAGAGTGGCTCGCCCCGGACTCGTGGGCTCCTCTCCGAAACCCCGGGAATCTGGGCACCCGGTGTCCCTTCTCCCGCCGCGGCCAGCGGGCCACGTGCCGAGTGTGCCGTCGGGAGGCCGGGTCCCTTCCCAAGCTGGTTTTGGGTGGGCGGGGACCGCACTGCCTCGGCCGCTCCGTGTGACACTCTCGGTTTTTTTTTTTTTTTCTGCCCCGTAGGAGAATGGCCACGTCAAAGTGAACGGGGACGCGTCGCCCGCGGCTGCCGAGCCCGGCGCCAAGGAAGAACTCCAGGCCAACGGCAGCGCCCCGGCCGCCGACAAGGAGGAGCCTGCGGGCGGTGGCGCCGCGTCCCCCTCGGCGGCTGACAAAGATGAGGCGGCTGCGGCGGCCCCCGAGCCGGGTGCAGGCGCCGCCGAGAAGGAGGCCGCTGAGCCCGAGCCCGCCGAGCCTGGGTCCCCCGCCGCCGAGGCCGAGGCTGCCTCCGCCTCCTCCACGTCGTCGCCCAAGGCGGAGGACGGGGCCGCGCCGTCGCCCAGCAGCGAGACCCCGAAAAAAAAAAAGAAGCGCTTTTCCTTCAAGAAATCCTTCAAGCTGAGCGGCTTCTCCTTCAAGAAGAACAAGAAGGAGGCGGGCGAGGGCGCTGAAGCCGAGGGCGCCACCGCCGACGGCGCCAAGGACGAGGCGACAGCAGCTGCGGCGACCAGCGAGGCGGGCGCGGCCCCGGGGGAGCAGGCGGGCGGGGCGGGCGCCGAGGGCGCGGCGGGCGGAGAAGCGCGGGAGGCCGAGGCGGCGGAGGCCGAGCAGCCTGAGCAGCCCGAGCAGCCGGCGACACAGGAGCCGCCGGCCGAGGAGCCAGCGGAGGCCGCGGGGGAGAAGGCCGAGGAGCCCGCGCCCAGCGCCGCCGCCGCCACCACCGGGGGCGATGCGCCCTCTGCCGCCGGGCCCGAGCAGGAGGCGCCCGTCGAAGAAGCCGCGGCCTCCGCGGCCCCCACCGCGTCCCCGGAGCCGCAGCCCGAGTGCAGTCCGGAGGCGTCTGCTGCGCCCGCCGCGGCCGAGTAAGCGCGAGCCTCTTACGTCATCGAAGAACTTTTCCCTTCGTTTGTTTGTTGGAGTGGTGCCAGGTACTGGTTTTGGAGAACTTGTCTACAACCAGGGATTGATTTTTAAAGATGTCCTCTTTTTTTTTTTTAATTTTACATTTTTTTTTTTTTAAGCAGCAAATTTTGTTCGTTCTTTTTTTTTAGCCCCCTTTCCCACAGATCCCATCTCAGAGCATTGTTACCACCATTCCGACTGGTCGAGGACAGTGTAGACAGCTTCCTCTGCCTTCTTTCTTCTTTCTTTAATTTTTTTTTGCATCAGTATTAATGTTTTTTGCATACTTTGCATCTTTATTAAAAAAATGTAAACTTTCTTTGTCAAATCTATGGACATGCCCATATATGAAGGAGATGGGTGGGTAAAAAGGAATAGCAAATGAAGTGATAGGGGCCACTATGGGAAATTGAAGCAGTGCACAACATTGCCAAGATAATATGCCACTAGAGATGATGCTGTAAAGGCTTAGGGTTTTTTGTTTTTGTTTTTTAAAGAAAAATTATTACGATGTATTTTGTGAGGCAGGTTTACAACACTACAAGTTTTGAATAAGAAGGAAAGAGAAAAAAATAAAAACACCAATACCCAGATTTAAAAAACAAAAAGATCATAGTCTTAGGAGTTCGTCTAAAGGATAGGAACTTCTTGCTTATCTCCTGTTAGCTGTACCAGTCAGTGATTACGTAGAATTACAAGTTGTATAGGCTTTATTGTTTATTGCTGGTTATGACCTTAATAAAGTGTAATTATGTATTACCAGCAGGGTGTTTTTAACTGTGACTATTGTATAAAAACAAATCCTGATATCCTTCAGAAGCACATGAAGTTTGCAACTCTCCGCCCTGCCCATTTTTGTAAAACTTCAGTCATCTTGGACCTTTTAAACACGAATTTGAAACTCAACCAAGCTGTGATAAGTGGAATGGTTACTGTTTATACTGTGGTATGTTTTTGATTACAGCAGACAATGCTTTCTTTTCCAGTTGTCTTTGAGAATAAAAGAAAAACAAATCTTCAGATGCGATGGTTTTGTGTAGCATCTCGTCTATCTTGTTTTGTAAATACTGGAGGAGCGGTGACCAATTGGGCCTAGAGCTGGAATGTAACTTTCCTTACAGACATTGCTATTCAACTCCTGCTTAAGGTGTTCTAATTTTCTGTGAGCACACTAAAAGCAAAAAAAAATAAATGTGAATAAAATGTACAAATTTGTTGTGTTTTTTTATGTTCTGAGACTGACGTCTAGGTCTTAGGTTAACTTTTAGGAAGACCTTGCATGCCATCGAGTACATTCGGTTGTGGTTTCTGATATGACGTTTTTCAAGCTCTGAAATCATAAATCAGCGTCAGATTACGTATGTAGGGAGATCGACTGTGTCAGTTGTTACCACGCATCTGCTTTTAGTTTGCATTTAAAAGTTGACAGTTACTTTGTAGTTTTAGCATGCCAGATTAAGTCATGGAAGACGAAAGTGGTTCGACCCTAAGACTAGAATGTCTTAGGAGACTATTTCATAAACCATTTCCTTGTTATGCAGGTCCAGAAACTTAAATTGTTTGATCAATCCAAGTGGTCAGTTTAGGCTGCACATAAGTCATGAAAAGATGGCCGGACATGTTTAAATGTTGGTGGTATGTGACCTGCTAGTGTAAGACTTAGCATTTGGCTAATTTTCAAATTATTTCCTAAATGGTGTGCTACACTTTAAGAAATAGGTTTCTATATGGAAGTAATGGTGTTGAATGGACAGCATTGTCAATGTACGGGCCATCTGCATAGCTGCAAGCTGTTTTTTTTTTTTTTAAATCAATTGTCAGCATCTTGTTTTTCAAAAGGAAAAGATGCTTCTTTACATATTATTACTAGTTTTATTTTATGCTTTTTTTCCATCTCATAACTAGATATTTTTACTGGACCCTAACTGATTGAGGTTATGGCTGTTGCTATATTAAATGCAAAATAGTCCACCTGTTGTGCTGTTCTTGAGCAGGGTGGGGTTCAGGATAAAGCTGAACCACACCTGTGGTAGCACCTCAAGATTACATCGTATTAATAAAGAATAATAGCTTAGCTTTTTGATAACGCTCCTATAATTGAGATGACGGAACACATTTAATGGTTCCTTTTCTTCCTAAACACCCTCCCCACTAATGAAACCAAGTAACATTTGGAAAGAGGAAACTTGATCCTGAGTTTTGGAAGATTAAAGTCAAACCTGGTAACCAAAGGACTGATTTGTGGGTCTTTCCCACTTTAACCAACTTGTTTGAAGACTCCTAGTTGGCCAAGTATGGTGCCTGGCATGTCGTAGGACTCAACTGAAATGAGTTTTGAAAAATAACTCCTGAAGTGATAGTGAAGAATACTGTGTAGAAAAATGATTCTATATTGCTAGGTTCTTTTAACAGCTGGGGTTTATTAAGATGCATTATTTTGATTTTAATCACTGCCTAAAATACTCTGGGTGGTATTGATGGAGTGGCGGATTTTCCTCCAAGTGACTAAATGCAATTTGACATACTTTTCATCCAAAGTTTTGTACATCCTGTTGTTTTCTAATGGAATAAGATGTTACTATGGCTTTTTTGTACTACTAAAAATAGCTTTGAGATTAAGGAAAATAAATAACTCTTGTACAGTTCAGTATCGTGTTATTAAGTCTGTATTAGCAGTGTGGACAGTGACATTTCTGTGGTCATAAAACACTCTGGATTATAGTCATCATTTGATCCGATTCCTATTGCTTGTAAAATAAAGTTTTACCAACTGATATAATCAAGCCTGCTATTTAGGGTGTTTTACAAATTCTATTTTTAATTCAGATTTAGAGGGAAAAAAAATCAAAAGTTAAAGGTGTTTAGGATTTTAGAAGAGACATGCTTGATACTGTAATTAGAATGGAAACCTTATCCGTTGAGTTATTGAACAAGTCAAACTTAACAAGTCATTCCTGTTTTTTTTCACATACGGATATAAATTTAACAACCTTGCTGATCAGGTGAAGGCATTAGGGCGCGGTGCTTTCTGAAGCGTGTTAGTTTGGTTTCCTGATGGGACTCGGGTTGGTCTTGAACTGACAACACTCCTGCCTGGGCTGGGATTACGTCAGGTACCACCACCATGCGCAGCTGAACTCACTTTAAATAGGTCCCTTAGGAGTTGGTGCAAGTGCGGTGTATAGTTAGAAACAGCTGTACTTAACCTTGACGATGTAACGATTGGCGGTTATAGTCGCCCGTTTTAATCATTCTCTACAAATTGAACATCTCGACTTCCCAGCCAAGTGATGGAACTCAAAGCCGTTTGTAGCAAACAGAACTTAAATCCAACGGATCTTTCAGTTCCAGGAATTTCAGTTGGAGTACTTGAAATGATGCCCAAGAACGTTATTCTGAAAACCAGAAGTAGAGAGACTATGCGTGAATTTCCACAGACTTGATTTAGTCTTTGTTTTTTAATGCTTAAAAATAGAAGCCTCAAATAAGGGTGTAATTGATTAAACCAATGGGGTTATCTTTTTCCCCTTGCATTTTTTTTCTAGTCACTCTAGTGACAGGAAAAGCATGAACCATAGAATCAGCTCTCACTTCTCCATGTTTTGGGGGGTCTTTCTTGTTTTAGTTGTAGGGACGTCAGAGCAAAACTGGAGCCATTTTTTTTTCTTTTGTCTTCAGTTTCTTTAACACTAAGAGCCTTTTTGAAATTGTCTTCATTGTTTGTAGCTCTGGATTTTGTAATCCGAATGGTAATTCCTAGTTTGATCCGCTACTGAACTAGGTGACAGTGACTGTCTCCCTGCACAGTGGAAGAGTTAACATCGTTTTGGAAACTGTTTTAGATCATAGCCATTTTTATGAAGAAGTTTAAAAAAACATTTTGAATTTTAAAAGCCTCTAACAAATGAGTAAGTTCTGGGATCCCCAAAGCAGAATCTCGTTTTTGTTTTGGGGGTCTTTTTTGTTTGTTTTGTTTTTAGTTTTTGTTGTTGTTGTTTTCTATTTTTCAAGACAAGGTTTATCTGTGTAGCCCTGATGGTCTTAGAACTTGCACTGTCAACCAAGATGGCCTCAAACTGACCAAGATCCATCACCTCCCAACTGCTGGGATTAGAGGCTTATACCATCTCTACCCGGCTCATTTGCATATCTTATCTGTGGTTCATTTTAGAGAAGTATTTACACTCTATGAACTTTCTGACCCTGTATTGGAAATGTGAAAAAACACCCTTTTACACATGTTTACTGCGTCCTCAATATTCATTATGGAATTTGGAGGAAATTACAGGTTCTAACTCTACATTACAACAAAAACAGCTCTCAAGTATCACAATAGGAACATTCCATGGAATCATTTTTTTTTTCTGTCCTTGAGGGGCTAAGTACACAGCAAAATGGCACGGTATGTTCCTGGATATACAAGGGAAAGATGTAAAATCATCTTTATAGTAGAGCATTTCAGTCTGAAGGATTCTGTTGGAAGACCATGTTGCCGAGGCCACTAAATTAGCGTTTGTGTTAGCTACACCGTATAATGCCCTGCCATGTTGAGCATGTTCATGAGTCCACCAGCCTCAGCAGGCCTTGCTACCGACTGACTCTTCCACCTACTTCTATTATTTTGCTAGAGCTCTGTACCTTCCAAGCTGGACTGCAGGAATACCTCCACCTCGGACTTTTGACTCTAGTTGAAGGGAAGTAGAACCTTGCTTGTGTACCACTCTTCCTCACACGTCCTTCCTCCTGCTCACTCCTCCCAAACGGAAATGCAGGCTCCACAGTGTCCTAGTGTGAAACAAAGTGCCTAAGCCATGGCATTTACAGCGACAACTGTGATTTCCTCTGAGGGTCTAGGAGCAGTGACTTTACATGGTGAAGATTATTTGCTGGAGACAATCAGAAGGAAAGCAACTGAGAATGTGACTCAAATGCTCTCTTCTTTCTCCTGTCTTACCTGTTTTCCGCCCCACCTTTCTGTTTGAGATGAGGATTTCTCTCTGTAGACTAGCTTAGTTTCAGGCCCACAGCAGGCTCCTGAACGCTCTTTTCTCCATTTTAATGCCTTAAGCTTGTTTCTGGAACAGACATTATTTATTTATTTTTGCATTTTCAAGGCAGTGTTTCTCTGTGTAGCCCTGGCTGTCCTGGAACTCACTTTGTAGATCAGGCTGGCCTCAAATTCAGAGATACTCCTTGCCTCCTGAGTTCTGGGATTAAAGGCGAGTGCCACCAATGCCCAGATAAAAAGGGACACTTTTATTCCAGGATATCTAAGCAGTTCCCAACGTTTCCACGGATGGTCTTAGAAAGTAGCTTAGAAGCATACAGAAGAGGAGCTAACCTGGAGAGTTTAAGGTTTCCTGTTCTTCAGGTTTAGAACAGTTGTTCTGCCAAGTAAGAAGTTAACCATAGTGTACCAGGGTTCTGCAGGCACAGACTCAGCAAACTGGGTTTTACATAATTTGGAAAATGTTTATATTTGGAACATGTGCAGAGATTTTTCTTTATTCCTTAAATAATGCAGTGTAACAAAGCATTTATACTGTACCAGGTATTGCATGTAATTTGGAGAGAATTTCTTCGGGGGATGTGTGTGTGTGTGTGTGTGTGTGTGTGTGTGTGTGTGTGTGTGTGTGATGTGTGGAGTGGGGCAACTCATGTATAAAATTAGTTAGCCTTATTATTATTATTTTTGTTTGAGTGTGCGATGTGATGTGGAGAATCTTTCATGATGTAATTTAAATGATAAATGAAAATAAATGTGTGGCATTTCTCTCACCCTTTAATTACTGTGAGTCTAATTATATTTAAATGTTAGCCAAATCCATCAGCATCATACCTTCTTGTGTGTGCTGAGGAAAATGGAATGTACGAGCCTGGGGAACAATCTCTAGCCACTGGGCACCTATGTGTTAGGGTGAGGCAGCATACTTGTTGCTCAACAGGCAGTGCTGCAAATTTTTGCCATGAAAGTGTGGTGACAGTGTTTGAAAAGACGGAGAACGTTCTAGAGCCTGGTGTCTTCTATAGCAGGATTAGCTGGTGGTGCTGTGTAAAGAAGTTTGGGATGGTTGAGCTTAAGTGATCATGAGATTATGTATTTCTTTCTAAATAAGATTCCAATGGGAGTATCATATTTTAATGTTTTTAATAAAGTGCTGAGCACTGAATGAGGCAGTAGATAGTTTAAGGTAACATTTAGAAGGA